AGTGGTGGGATGGCAGGGTTAGGTTAATGGTTGGACTTGATGATCTTAAAGGTCTTTTCCAACCTAAACAACACTATGATTCTATAAGGGGGGTCGCTTGGCTGGACCCACTCTCTCTAATGGAGCAGAAGGCCCCAAACTTGTAAGATTTAAGGTTAGAAGAGGAATCCTTGTAAGGTTGGAAGAGGAATCACCTGGGAGGATTGTTGCAGCAAAGCAGGGATCTGGAGTCAATGACTCACAGCATCGTGTCCCAGGTGGCTCCTGACACCTCACCCAGCCCAGGAGAGAGACTTCTTCATCTCCATCCTGGCCCAGCCTGCGGGATGTGACACATTGCAGAATCAGGTGCTTTGCAACACTAATGGTGGAGATTTCTCCTGCAGCACGATCTGGATAAGGAAAAGAAGTAAAAACAGGCAGAGGGTGCACCTTCCCAGGATGGAGGTTTTACAGGTGGATGCATGGGGGCTGCCAACAGGTTCTGCCCTGACGCTGCAGCAAGCCTTCCTTGCCAACCTCTTCCTCACGCATCTGCAGAGGCTGATGCCAACGTGCATTACAGAGCAAGCAGTTCCCACCCCAAGCACGGCTCGGTGGGGTGGCCCAGCCCTGGGGAAGCCCAAATGTCCACCCCCTCAGGCCGTGTGGAGGGCTGCAATGGCTCAGCCACCCCAGTGCATGCAACACTGCTTGTGCAAGCCTTGGGGACCTCTGTAGAAAGGTGCCAGCAAAACTATCAAAGCAAAGGATGGGGCTGTGGCAAAGGCATCCAAATCCACTTTCAAATCCCTTCTGAAGCTTGCAGGGCTGTGGAAGAGAGGGTTGGGGGGGACCTCAGGAAGGTGACTTCCATTTCCCACACCCCAGGGCAGGAGTCGCTCTGCTTAAGCTATTTTGACATCGATTTGTCTAACCTCTAATGAGAGGGATTTCACACAAGCAATCCCTGTCTGAAACAAAAGAGGGATCTTCTTTGCGTATAAATCACTTCTCAGGGATTTGGAGGTTTGAACCGGTACCTGGGCTGTCCTCCAGACAGATTGTGGGGTTTTTGTGTGCGTCATTTATCTCCTTCATAAATACAAAACCAGTAGCTGACCTATGAAAGAAGAATCATGACCATTTATAAGCCACCCAGAAACCATGATCCAAACTGGGGAATAAACCGCCTCCTGAGACTTGTATTAGGACAACTGCAAAGGCAATTCCTTCCATAAAGCCAACAAACTACACGAAGAAAAAACCAGCCATCCACTCAGAGTAGGATCAAGGGAGGCGGGGAAGCCTCTCCCAAAGACGAGGAGCTGGTCCCAGAGACCAGCTGTGGGGTCAACACGGTCCTGTCTTGTACATGGGGCCGGGTCTCCAGCATGCGTGCGTGAGCATGCTCCCCACCAGGCCGTGCTCAGGTGGATGCCTCTGTCGCCGAGAGAAATGATAAACATGTTTGTCACCATCCATGTGATCTGGGGTGTAATTAGTGAATCGCAAAGAGTAGTTTCACAAGAATTTTGAGTCTTCTGACGTTTGTGAAATATCCCCAGACACGTTCTGATTTCCTCACGTATCAATTTGTGCAAGTGATTCAGCCCCATTGGTTAGCAATGAATCTCCTTGTCTCTGTCTTGTATTTTATTTCAATCTCTGCTATTATTAATATTACAGTGGCCTCTAGAGTCCTGGATGAGATCAGGCCTGAGGTGCACTGTAGGCAGAAAGAAACTTTTCTCCCCAAAGCAGAGCATTAAATCAGCGGAGATGCAGATCCCAATGCCCCCCCCCCAATGTACAGCTGAGGGTGGAGGCAAAGAAGGAGGAAAGAGCTCAGGGTTACAATGCTTTCTTCCCTACTCTTTTCTCCGATCAAAGTGTAATAAAGGCTACCAACAGCAGATATTTGGAACCAGTATTGTGGGAATGGGACGCTGTTGGAGACCTTTGTCTTTCTGAGCCTCCTCCCTGGAGGTTCTCTGTCTCCTGTGGGGTTTTAAATTCCTTCTGTTTGGCTTCAGCCAGGGAAGGACTGACCTGAAATATTGCAATATTCCACTCAGAAATAGGCTTCTCTCTGATGCTACTCCCCAGCCATGTCCCACCACCTGTGTTCGCCCACTTCCATCATCCCAACGGGACATGTCCAGCAAGAGTTTGCTTCAAAGCCTGCATGGCCATCTCCCCACCTCTAAACCCCAAACCCAAACCTCAGTGACAGCTTTAGAGCCCAGAGGTGACCTCGACTCCTTTTGTAACCCACCAGGGCTGAGCCCCATCACCCCGGTGGATGCGGACGGCCAGTGCTGGCCCACAGGGCTTGTCAGATGATGCTCACACTCCTTGTTTTCAGGGCACCCCCCACATAGACCAGCCCTGGGCTCTGTGCTCCCCTTCTGCCACCCCATCATGTGCTCGTACCCGTATTTTTGTCTCCTTTGCCCATTCACAACCCAGAATTTTTTCCCATGCTGCCCAAGATCACTCATTTTTCCTACACGCCATCATGGCCTTAATTGTTTTCTTCCAAGCCCCTTTTATTTTCTGGATCCCTTGGCAACCCACTCCACCAGCCCTCCCCATTATCCCACCCTCCCATCCGCTAAAATTTTTGCATTGCTGACTTGGGCTTTGCATTAGGCAAAAGAAGCAGGTAAATGCTGTAGTCAAAGGCAGCTAAACCACCCAGAAACCTCCCCATCCCTGCACATGAACCACGCCAGGCGTGGTGGGCAATTAACATTTTTATGGAGTAACGAGAGGAACAGCGATCCCGAAGGCGGGATATTGATCTGCTCGTAACACCATGAGTCAAAACAGCAGTGTAAAAACTCTCCAATTAGCAAAGCGCTCAGGGTGGTGAACAATCAAGTCCCTCCAGTGGGAGCTCATCTTGTTTCCGGAGGAAAAACCCTGGACGCCCTATAAAAGATCTCGCACCCCGATCCTCCTCATTGCCTCAGCTTCACGTCTCCTCTTGAACTCCTGCTCAGCGGGGTAAGTCCAGCTTGATCAAACTTTTGCACTTTCAATGATCACCGGCTTTGTCCTGATCCTGAGGTCTTGGTCACTTCTCTTATGCGTCTCATCTCTCTGACTGTCTCTGGCCGCAGCTGCTCAGTCCTTCTGCTTGGGTTGTCTTCTCCATCCATGTCTATACATAAATAATAGGAAGCAACTAGAAAAACTTAAAACTTTCTGATTCAGGCAGCTGAGGACAGGAGTTTTCAGGTCTCGCTCTGGACTCTGGCCACCGTTTCTCACTAATCACCAAGTGCTTTAACTTCTGTCTTATATATTTGCTAAACACAGAAGAGAAAGGAAAGACTTGCTCAAAGGAAGATAGCACAGAGTCCTCTGCACAGGCCAGGGACCGCTACCGGCAGACATGCATTGCTAATTTTTCTCTCTTTTTCCAAGAATCTGGCTTATAATGAGAATTTATTCTTGATATATAATCCCACCTACCTAGACATCTATTACTGCTAGCTGACAGACATCACGGTGTCTCTTGCCTTTGCGCCCACTCAAAGATGACAGTCTTCCCAGCAGGTCTTCAAAGATGTGCTCCCGCCAGGACAAAGACCAGTGCCACCGGCAAGAACGATCCTCATGCCACAGCAGTGAAGGCTGCCCTGGCAGCAGTGGTGGATCTGGATGCCATGGGCGCAGCGATGGGAGCAGTGGTGGATCCGGATGCCACGGGAGCAGCGGTGGGTCCAGTTGCCATGGGAGCAGTGGTGGATCCAGTTGCCATGGGAGCAGTGGTGGATCCGGGTGCCATGGGAGCAGTGGTGGATCTGGATGCCACGGGAGCAGTGGGGGATCCTGCCATGGAAAGCCACAGGATTGCCAGCAGCAAATTTATCAAGTGTCCTCAAAGATGAAGTGATCAGGACATTACCTGCACGCTATACACATGCATGTCCTTGATCTTGTGCTGCATTCAGAAAGCTTTGCATCTCTCCTAGCAATCTTCAAAGAAAATGCCTCCTCCTCCTCCCTTGGCAGTCCCTCTACCGCTGATGAGCTTATCTGTGGGTGCTAAAGTTATGCATGTTCACGCTGGCGCGGTTTTCTCTGTATTGGTCTGTAACTATGTATGAGCCATTACAAGTCAGAGTTCATGAGAGTTTTGTGTTCATGATTTTTCTTTCCCTTTATATTTCATAACACGATACAAGACACCTTGCACTTGTTTAATGGCCCAGAAGTTGCCAGACACAAGCAATAGGGGCTGGCACTGCCACACTCTCCCCTATGAACTCCAAAGACAAAGAGAGAGAATCAAGATTTTTAAACACTGATATTTTAGGAGGCCATCTCAGGGCTCTGCAGCACAGGGACCTCTCGTCCATGCCACCTCCCCACAGAGCTGGAGACCCAAAACCCCCACCAAGACCCCACAGGCTGCATTGTGCAAGCTCTGGGCACAACCATGGGGCAGAAAAAGTCCTATAGGCAAAGGCATCCATGATGGGGCAGAAAACCCTTTTTTTTTTGCCTTCTAGTCCCAAGGCGCCATCCTTGGGGCAGGTATCTCCACATGTTTGCAACAAATCCGCCAGCAAGCCTTTCTAGAAACCCTCTGCCCAATACTTCAAGAGCCTTGGGTCGAGCCAGGGGTGTCACAAGATGCCAGCATTACACAACGAACTGATAAATTGTAATTAAAATTAGTTGTGTAATTTATTGGTCCCGTATCGCCATTCATGAAATGGATGTTGCTCTGATAAGATTGTTCTCAAGTGTGTCATGATGATCAGAAATATCTGGCATTGCTGGAAAGGGTGCAGAGAGGAGCTAACTCCCTGTACTCGGCATGGGTGAGGCCGCCCCTCGACTGCTGGGGTCAGGGTTGGGCCCCTCCCTCCCCCAAGGACCTGGGGGGGCTGGAGCGTGTCCAGAGAAGGGCAGCAGAGCTGGGGAGGGGTCTGGAGCCCCAGGCTGCTGGGGAGCGGCTGGGGGAGCTGGGGGGGTTCAGCCTGGAGCAGAGGAGGCTGAGGGGAGCCCTCATCGCT